CAGCCTTTGGCCCTATCCCTGCGGCTGTCCTCGCCATTTCTGGTCTGCAGGTTCCTGCAGGATGCCCTGATTCTGCCATATTGGGTCACTTCCATTGGCCGGGCCATGGGTCAGTCACAAGAAGCACGGCGGGCCTACAGCTGTGCTGGGCTCGGAAATCTTTTTCAGATCGCGGCCGTCTGGTGTGATGCCTGGGATCTGTCGAAGTGGTTCTTGATGCCTGCAGCGCTGTGTATTGGCATGGCATCCTACCGAGTTCTGCAATATGATCTGAGAAGGGCAGAGGGCATCCCCTCCAAGGGCCGTTCTGACATGCAAAGCAGCGGCTATTTGCTGGTGTTTTACATGCTCTCGGGATTCATCATTGAGGTGCTAGGGGTTTCGCACGAAATCGGTGAGGAACAGATGCTGCTGGAGTATGCTGTTGTGGATGTGCTGGGAAAAGTACCCAGTTGCCATTTGTTCACACGCAGCCTGGCCGGTTCACAGTTTTTATCGCGCGAGACCAACACTAGAGGCAGACTGGAGATAGCTGCCATAGACTTTGAGGACGACGATGGTGAGGACAGTAGCTACAGTGGTGCAGCCTGTTTTCATGACACAAGATTTGCATGGAGGCAAAACAAACACAAAAATGTGTCAAAATTCATCACACTCAAAATTCATCAGCACCAAATACACCCCAGCATGCAACAAATCTGCAGTATGTATGCAAATATAATCAAATATACAGTGTAGTAATGTGTAGTACTTGTAGTTTTATGTGTTTCTCAGCAGCAGGATGCTAAGTCGGTATATGGCTGGTATACAATTTTCCAGTTTCTTAGTTGACATGACATTGAACCCGAACAGGGCAACACGACATATCGAGTCATGTCAGGAAATTCCACCAGAACTGCTACATTTTAAAAAATCCTATTTCCAACCACGATAGTCAATCTATTGTCAGTGTAGCCTTCCGAATCTCACTATGTCAATCCAGCAAAGATCGTGGCACCTTTCTGTACCAGCATATCGAATTGGAATCACCAATTTGAAGCGACAGACCCAATAAAAGCAATATAAAAAGTAACCTGCTTCAATCATCTTCAATCCAGTATCACATAATTGGTTGAAGAGAAGATGTTCATTTATTTGACCCCCCAATCTTTTGGCGACCTAAGGATTTGGTTTCCTATAGAATTTCCGTGCAATCCATTCACAGCGTGTTTTTTTTTACACAAGGGCGAATCCCGTGCTGATATCTCACCTCCTTTTTGGTTGATTCATGATGGTTAATGATATCATGAAAAAATGAACACAATTTAAACATATCATGAATCAACCAACGATGGAAGGATTCTAATGTATCATGATTGTGTCATGTGTCATATATCAAACTATTTATTCTTAGGATTTCTTAGTTGTAATGTGCAAGGCTGTGCAAGGTTCAAATGTAGGACGATCGTAAGATATCAGGTTCTGTCGGGACAACGTGTACGGGTCACATATGGAGTACGCGGGAAATTCGGGTACTGGTCATTTTGTCATATTTGTATATATATATTATATATTATATTTGTCATATTTGTTATATTTACCCTTATGACAAAATACTCGATTATAGTGAACTCACCCCGCCCGATCCAAAATCTTGCGTTTAGTTTGGGGGGACTTCCCGGGAAAGTCGCCCCAACATGCGTTTACTTGCTGTGGAGCAGTTGCGTAAGACAGAAAACGATGCTTTAGAAGTAAATTTTGCTTCATTTAGCTTGTGCTTACACTGGTGAACTTTTTTTTTTGTCATGCCTGGCTCATTCATGTGACCTTCGAGCAAATCCAGTCACTTGTTTACAGGTCGCCCTGCCGGGGGGGTGCCTTTCTAGAGTAGTTGCATCGATTCATCTAATTACAGTAGATTCTGGCTGCAGCTAGGCTGTTGTCGGGCTGATGCTGCGCTGCTGCTAAATGGCTGCGGGATATCACCACTGGCAGCGTGCAAATTGCTGCTGAGATGCTGCCAGACTGCTTCTAGACTCCTGCTAGAGACTTGCTGCCGGGCTGGTGGTAAACTGCTGTTACAGCTGAGGGGTTTCCAAAGCTATTTTCTGGCCTCGTTCGGGCCAGTACGACAACTGGTTAGTGGTTTGGAACATTTTTTATTTTTCCATATATTGGAAATAGTACTCCCAACTGACTTTCATATTTTTCAGAGGAGTTGAAACTACCAACCAGATATGTTTGGCACTGGTTATTTTGTTTGACCCATCCGCCCGCCATTGGATCGGAGATTCCGCCGCCAGGACTGACCTTCTCATCCCGTGCAGCTGCGATGTTCGGAAAAGCGTGGGAGATCGGAGGGTTGATGCTTAGGGTACAAATGGGTATGATATCGGAAGATATCCATTGTATATGATTATAAATCATGATTGTAAATTTAGATTATAGATCATGATTAGAGTCATTGTTATTGTTATTACTATTGTCAAGAACAGTCACAATAGTCATTATTAAGTATTACTCTTATTTATTACTTATTATTGATTACTTTTTATTGATTACTTATTGTTGGTTACTTATTTTTGATTACTATGATTACTATTGTTATTACTCAATATTACTGTAATATGATTATTCACTAGTCATTATGATGATTGATGGGGGGCTTCTCAGTTTTTATCAACCGGTGACCCTCATCAGTCCGTGGGCAGCATCTCAGCCGAGGTATGGTCGCCTGTTTAAGTGGCTGATCAAATGCATCAACACGACCTTGCCCGGGGGCCCCCGGCAGCCTGCGGGTTGATCTATATGGGTGTTTCCAGTTCGGGCTACCCCAAGAGCTGGATGGTTTATTTTATGGAAAATCCAACGAAAATGGATGATTTTAGGGGTACCCCCCTTTTAGGAAACCTCCATACATGGGGAGGATGCCTCAGAAGAACAATTTTAATATGAAATATTTCGATTCACGGGAAAATGATGAACCACGGGATCAAACAATGGGTTTTATTTGAGGCCGAACTTTGAGACAAACCAGTCGTCCCAAGTCGTCCGAGAATACACAAATCGAGGGGTTTGTAGCTGGTGTCAGTAACAGCCCAGGGCCTGGGGCTTGGTCAGCGATATGATCTCAGGTCTCAATCCACCAAGAGCAGTGGGCAATTCTTCGGCGTATTGGACATTGCAGCCATCTCAGTGGGATTCATCGGCTGAGAATGGGCTGAATTCAGTCCGGAATACCACGAAGCAACTGGTGATTTTTGACCGCAATGCAGAATATCCCATGAACGGAAATTCTGGAAGAACGATAGAGACATGGGCACAGCTTCATTGTCTGCAGCAGGGATTGGTTTGCCTCGGTTTTTTGAACGGGCCGCATGCAAAATACAGGTATGGCCTGGCACAAAATGATTCGCCAGCCGTTTCTGGGTCAATTGCTACCCTTTTCTTTTGGCTTTGTCCAAAAATCGGGCAACAACATGGGAAAAATCTGTATGCCCCAAATCCAATTGTCCCCACAAAAATATGTTTCTTTTTGAAAGCAACCCTGATGGCTGCTCAGCCAATGAGCCCAGGCCGGCTTTGAGAGCTTTGAGCAGAATTCGTGAGGGAACTCAGTGCTAGCGCCAGACCACCACAATTCGGTGGTGAATGGGGCGGCCGCTTAACGTTGGGGTGTTTCCCAAAAGTGGGGTAAACTCAAAAATGCCAAGACCATAGGTTTTTCTTGTAGGAATGCCACATCTTGGATGATTTGTTGGACCAAACCCACGTTTGGGAGGCTTAGGGGGCACTCATGGAATCCAATATAGACATGATTCATGATCTTCTGTCATGTCAAGTTCATATTCCCCAGCATTGTGCAACGAGGATGACTTCTACGGTAGCTGTCTGGATCCATGGATCCACCATCTCACAGAACTGGTGGAATCATCCCCAGGCTTGATTCATACCATCAATCGACCATCACTTTGCTAATCACTCAAATAATCAGAAGAATATTGATGCCAGATTATTGGATGAACAATCATCATTTATATTTTCATACTATATTTTGGGCTGATGACTTAGGACTTAGGCCACCATAGTGGGGTATCTTTCACAAGTCCTAAGTCACTTGCTTGAAATATATTGGATAAACAATAACCCTTGGTGTTTTTTCACACTCCCCAATTCTTCATCTCTGCGACGAAATCTCTGCGGCTGAGACTTGAACAACTCTTCATTAACCTGAGCAACGAGTGGCTGGGACGGTGGCCGTATGGCAGTATGTTTAGGGAGCAAATGGGAGAAAGGAAACACAGAATTTAAGATCATAGTATACATACAAGTTATATACGTATTAATATATAATTGTATTTATTAAAACAATATATATATATACACGTATATATATATATATCATATATATCTACTCATGATTTTTTTGGTGCAATCATTTTCTCTTCTTAGTTGCTCTCAGATGTTCTCAGTCCAAAGTTTGTAACATGTGGGCCCCAAACCACCACAATTTCTAGCTGTAGGGATGGGACAGTGGGGATCAGTGTCTTCTACCACCTCCAAGTACCGGGTCCAGTGGGTCCCGTGGGTCCCGTGGGTCCCGTTGAGAATCGAGCTCTGCTTTTTGGATTGTGCAAATTATGTGTTAGATTTGAGGTGAAACTACTCATTTTCAAATGTTTGTAACATGTTTTTATATCATGTTATAATATCATTGTGTATGTTTTATATCATGGAAATTATAACATATATAACATATATATATATATATAATAATATGTTTATATCATGTTATCATGTTTTGGACTGAGAGTTCCCCATGTTGACCGCCTGCCGGGGATTCATCCAAGGCATTTGCAGCAGCACTTCAACAATCACATCTTCAAGATGCCTGGATTGGCTGAGTAGATACTTTTTCTGTCACTGTCATTTTCCCCTTGGACCAACTTTTTTTTCAACATACGGTTTTCAATCTTTTGTTATTTTGGTTGTGGACATGTTATGGTCTCCGGATTTCCGAGGATGGAGTTGGATGACTACAAAGCAGAGGGTGTGTCCGTCGATGCTGGCCTATCCTTCAACGACAACTCAGACATCGTCACACTGATTGATTCCAAAGGCACAGATGGGTGATGGGTGTGTCTGTTATTTTTCGAATTTTACAAGGAACATCATTTAGATGATTCAGCATGGAACTGTTCATATAGTTTGTGTGACCTGGAGCAAGGCCATTAGGAAGGTAGACCTGCAGGACGTCGATAATTGGGGTCCCGATTTGGAGTCCCTGGCGGAATCATAGCGACCACTTGTAGTTTTGGTCAAGATTGCTTCAGAACTGAAGGGAAAATCTGGAGACAACCCCGAGGGAAGACCCATGGCTTCTTCAACCTTATAGATTTTCCTTCAAGCCAACCTAAATTTTGCTCACGAACCAGTGGCCCAGTGTATCCTCATTTGCATTCTCTTAAAACATTCCCATAGAGGATCCCCAGATCACCTATGGGTTTCCGTCATGGTCGAATGATGACGGACGGATAGGTGGAATTCTCTCCGTCCTGGACGAAGAAGTGTCCATGCCAAAGGTGATGCGGTATCTGGGGATCCCGGTGGTAAGGCAACCAGGATAGGCTTATAAAAGTTAAGTTATACAGTTGTACATGTATACAAATGCGCATGATTATATATAAATGTATATATATATGATTCTATATGAATAGTTTTTTATATTTAACTATATATGGCTTTTAAATGCTTTTGGATATTAAATATTTCTATACATATATGTATATACACAAGGCTACATACATATTTATTATACACAATGATCACGCATACTTTACACATGTTCTATGAATATGTATATATACAGGACATTGATAGTCTTATGCGTCCTGATTCAAACACTTTTTGTCTTCCTCCATTTCACGCAGGCAACTGACCAGACTTTCCTCAATAAGGCGAATGGGGTGGCCTGAAGATGTTCAGTTTCTTGGGTTGCCGGACGCGTCACTTGAGATGGCTGACATGTACCAGGAGCAAATCAAGTAGAGACAACTCAACTAGCATCTTTCATCATCTTTCCATTTGGCGGAAGGGTACCCATTCGCCATGATGATCCCATGTGATCCCGAACTCAACTCGTGAGCCTATCCCATTCTCTGGCGGCTTCAACGGTCGAAACAGAAACATCCGGAAACTCGTCAACCAAGCTCTGGAGGTCTTTAAGGCGCACGAGAAGCATGCAAGGTGCGATGTTTTTGTTTTTTGGCTGGGCAGCCTTTGTGGATGAGGTTAGACTAACACATCGGTTTATTCAGCACTTTTCGTGCATCTTTATGTATGTTATCAAAGGAAGTTTAGGGGGAGAAAGAGTTAGTCAAAAAACCTTAGAATGTAAGGGAAAGAGTTAGTCAAAGAAAGAGTTAGTGAGGGAAAGAGTTAGTCAGGGAAAGAGTTAATTGTAACTTTTAGACTGTCAGGGAAAGAGTTAGTCAAAGGAAGAGTTAGTTAGGGACAGAGTTAATTGTAACTTTTAGAATGTCAGGGAAAGCATTGTAAATGGGGTTGCAAGTGGTGCTGGTGGATGAGTTGCCGATGGAGTTTTGGAGGAAGTCTCGCACGAAATGCGTTTTTGAGAGATAGCAGATGCACGAAATCCTATGTTTTTCCATACAAAGTCCGTCCCCGAACCTCGATGATCTACCTCTGCGGTGCGACGGGTGCGAGACGGTCTCGTGTGTGGTCGGATCATCTTCGGATCATGTCGGATCGGTTCCGCATTGTAAATGGGGTTTCAACCTGTTTTTCGTGCATGTGCGGTCGACAGAATTCCATTGTGATTTGCAACTGTAGGATCGTTCCCGCATTGTAAATGGGGTTGCAAGTGGTGCTGGTGGATGAGTTGCCGATGGAATTCAGTGTAGGATCGTTCCCGCAATGTAAATGGGATTGCAAGTGTTGCTGGTGGATGAGTTGCCGATGGAATTCCATTCTGCTTTGCAACTGTAGGATCGTTCCCGCAATGTAAATGGGATTGCGGTTTGCAGCTCAGTCTTTGCGGATCGCATTGTAGTGGCTGCGTCAAGGTTGCTTCGTGCTTTGGCTGCATTCGTAATACTATTGTCTTTTGCAGCTGGACTTCGTAAATCGTCTTGGAGTGGCTGCATGAAGGCTGCGACAGTGATTTGTCAGCAGATTTTCTCCATTTTGGCGCTAGCGATTTTCCTTCTAAGAATCCTTTTAAAAAGTGCTTCAAAATCGTCTTTTTTTCGCTCTGGCGTCGAGATCCATCCGGTTTTGGAGCTACAATTTCCGACGCCGTTGCGCGTAGTTCTATTGTGTTTTGCAACTCAGTCTCTGCAGATCGCATTGTAATGGCTGCGTCAAGGTTGCTTCGTGCTGTGGCTGCATGCGTAATACTATTGTCTTTTGCAGCTGGACTTCGTAAATCGTATTGGAGTGGCTGCATGAAGGCTGCGACAGTGATTTGTCAGCAGATTTTCTCCATTTTGGCGCTAGCGATTTTCCTTCTAAAAATCCTTTTAAAAAGTGCTTCAAAATCGTCTTTTTTTCGCTCTGGCGTCGAGATCCGGTTTTGGAGCTACAATTTCCGACGCCGTTGCGCGTAGTTCTATTGTGTTTTGCAACTCAGTCTCTGCAGATCGCATTGTAATGGCTGCGTCAAGGTTGCTTCGTGCTGTGGCTGCATTCGTAATACTATTGTCTTTTGCAGCTGGATCTCGTAAATCGTCTTGGAGTGGCTGCATGAAGGCTGCGAAATGGATTTGTTAGCAGATTTTCTCCATTTTGGCACTAGTGTTTTTTTGTTGCACGTAGGTTTAGAGCAGTGTGAAGTGTGGGGCGTAAAGAGTGCAGTGTGAAGTGTGAAGTGTGAAGGAAGCAGTGGGAAGTGAGAAGTGTGAAGTGTGGAGTGTGAAGTTTAAGTTTGGAGTGCGAAGAGCGCAGTGTGAAGTGTGAAGTGTGAAGTGTGAGGTTTGGAGTGTGAAGGAAGCAGTGAGAAGTGAGAAGTGTGGAGTGTGAAGTGTGGAGTGTGAAGTTTGAAGTTTGGAGTGCGAAGAGTGCAGTGTGCAGTGTGAGGTGTGGAGTGTCGAGGGAAGGACACGGTCGGGACAGGTTGTCTTTGAACTATAGGTCATTTATGTTTGGGAAACTTCCGCCGCCGGCTTGCCCGGGTCTATGTTAGATTGCTATACAATGATTACAGTAGATTATATATATATATATACATATATATATGTATTTATATAAGACAGAGTTGGAAGCTGAAAAGCCGAGGTTCCTCTATTGAGCGCTTGATCGAGAATGTGATCTGCTTCTTTCATTTTGGTTCACTGTGCTCCCCCTGGACTCCCCCAGGCTGATCGTGCCCAAGATCTCGGGCGGTGGCAAGTTTGGGATCAGGCACTTTGCAGGAGATGTGCGCCCGCCGGGAAGTGGAACACCATGGTGACCTGCCGAATATGAGAAAACATGAGAAAACCCATAGAAAGACACCATCCGAATCCATTTGAATGTTGAATAGAAGGAACTTGTAGACATTTCAGAAATGTGCTGCTTTATATAGTCCAGTCAGTTGAATCAACAGTTTGGGGGAAATCCTAGCTATGGTTTTTTCGGTTTTGCTGGGGCAGCACAACCTGATCCATCTGATCCCATGTCCAAGTCTGGATCTGCACATTTCGCTTGGCCATGTATCCATCAAAGAGGTCGACTCATGTCAACTGATGTTCTACACCAAGTAAACTGATACCTTATTTGCATTTATTTGCTATTTGGACTAGTTTCCAAACCCTGAACCGTTGGATGTTTTACCGCATCATCTTCTGTTTCCTGCCTGCAGTTTATGATCACTGAGCCATGGCTGCTATGGCTCTCCGTGTTTTCTGGCTACTGATCCCTGTCACCCAGCTGCAAGCTCGAGATACTGAGACAAAACCACTTCAATGGGCTACCCCTTTGCTGAGGGCCCGAGCATCATGTAATTTTTAGAGTCGAGCAGTAGGTAAATCATGAAACAGATCATTCCGAAGCCAGAAGATTTGAATTTTGAGACGTGACATCCCGGAACATTAGGATATAGCTCTGAGTTCCTGAGCCATTTCCACTTGCCTCCGACCACACTTTCCAAGAGGCTTTGATCTCATCAAGCAGGGTTGCATCATGTTACACCTCTAATGTGCGTCGCATAGGTGTTACTGCAAAATCATGTAAAGACCAAGGTGTTGGTGGATGGCTCAAGGCAGTCCTTCCTGCAGGAACATGCTGGCTACGGCTACGGCATGGAGAACTTTGAAGCTTTTGTAGAGCGCCACCTGGTGAAGCTGACATCATTTTTTTTAAAGCTCTAAGCTCCAATCATCATGGGTCAAACTTGGCCCAACTACATGGGATCTTGTTGGTTTAACTAGTAACACGGGTGCTAAACAGGGCTGGCCCTTTTCTATCCTTTTCTACAAAAGTCAGCAATGTTTCTTATCCATTGTTCTGAATGATTGCTGTAAGGAGAGCTTGGCAGACGCCTGAAGGGAGATGTGTATCTCGACTATGCGGCTGCTGGCCTGTATACCAACACGCAAATCGATGCTCATGCTGAAGATTTGAAGGAACAGTTGTATGGCAATCCCCATTCTTTGAGTATCTTGGCTTCCTGCAGCAGCACTGTAGTCTTGGTGAACAAAAAGCAGTGGCAAATTGTTGATGCCCATCTCTACCGTGCCAGTTTGAGACGCATGGCAGTACTACAGTGACTGTTTCGCAGAGGATAAGCATGGTTTGATGTCTGAGGATGTTGCAGATGTCTCATATCTTTTCGGGACCTTGTGTAAAAATCTCCGATTCAGCCAGGAATCTTTCAACACCTACTCGTGCTTTTCCAGTCATTTGGATCATTTTTCTTTGCCATTGCTTTCCTTCACAGCCTCAACACTTCACTGAAGTTTTTCCCCTCAGGGTCTAGTTAGGTTTGTCTGAAACTCCCATGGATGAAAACCTCCTTTTCCCCATTAATATGGCAAGGGGCTGGGGTTCAATCCCCAGGCCTTTTCCTCAGGTTCTTCCGCCCAGCGGAGTTCGGAGTCCGTGGAAGCGGCCCGGGGGGCCGTGCTGCGATTTCTAGGCGCGTCATCCTCGGAGTATGAAGTGGTGGCCCGGCCTTTTCCGATGGGACGGCTGGGACGGCTTTTGAGTCACGGTAGGGGTGGCGGTTCTAGTTTTCCAACAGACTCACTGTGATATTTGCAGATAAAAAAACAACTATTTAGGATGATATGGATGATTTCCTAAGCTTCGTCCCACAATCCAGAAAATCACCGCCTCTGATTGGAAGATGTTTTTCATGTTCCTTTACCTGCAGGTATTTACGCGATCTTGTACAGACTCTTTGCACCTTATCGCCGAGATGTACCTTGGAAGTCCAGGATGTTCTCATGAACGGCTTGTTTGTCCATTCCTCCTTGGACCAGTTTCCAAAGCTAAAACAGATGCCCCAATCCAAATCCAGCAAGCAAACTCTGCGAGGTCACAGAGGATTGCATTTTGACATATTTTGACCATAGTCATATAACTTGCAAGGTCACTTTTGCGTTTTCAGTTAGCAGCATGAACACCAATTTCGGGTAAATTTTCTTCATCTCCAGTTTGGATCATTTGTTATTTCTTCATTTCCACTTCTATTTATTTAGCCATTTCATAGTCATTATTAGTCATTTCATAGCCATCCAAACCCCCTTCTGGTCTGTCTTTCTGGCATGCTGTCCAGGTTCCCTTGGGTGGCGAATCGCTCGGAGTACAGATATTTGCTGCAGACACTTGGCCCTGGGTTTCCCGGAAATTGGTTGACAGGAAAGCACGAGGCAGTTGAGAGGAGAGAAGTACGAGATTTTTCTAGGTTTTGAGGGAGAATTCGCAGGAACCCCCCAGCTATCCCAGAGTAGAAACCATGCTGTTTAGGAAAACTTCCTTGAAATCAAAATTTGGTGAATCTTCCAAATGAAAGCTGCTACCATCTGGTGGACAAACATGGAACATGCATTTTCATTGATTTTCCAAGAAATGGTGATTTGCTATTGCCAGGTGAAATTGATTGAGATTGTATACAGTGGAAGATAAGCTGTTGGCAGAAGACTCTTGGATAAGGGTCCTGTAGTTTGGAAACCTACCATATTTTTCTCTAGATTTCTTTTTCTCCTATGCGTCAAAACGGATGTGCATCCCCCCAAACATGTTTTTTTCCATGTTGTTCGAGATTTTGACCAATTCCCATTTCTCCTATGTGGGGGTTTCAAGGGGATCCCCAGTCGTCACCATGGGTTTCAACACTAAGTCATGGTATGTCATGGTCATCCATGACGACTGGATGAGGATGGTACCCCCATGACTTGTCGGAAACCTCCTATTAGTGTCACCTCCATAGATCTACAGTTAACATCAGTTAACCATGGTCTATAACTATGGTTAACTATGGCTTATGGATGTTTTAACTATGGTTTATGGATGTTTCTGGTAGATCTTCCCGTATTTTTCAATCATTTTCCGAGACGATGTGTTGATGTGCAAGTCCTGAGACAGGCTCCCGCCAGGAATCACAACTCCGTGCTGGGGATCCGAGACGTTGCGCGGGACGCCTCCGTTCCTGCCGCAGTGATCTCGCAGGAGTTGGTGGATGACTGGCTAGACAGGCTGGGAGTGGGGCTGTATATTGGGGATATGATGGGATACAGAATATATATATATATAATGATTACAATATAATGATTATAATCTAATGATATATCATTATATATATAATGATATATATATATATAATGATATATATATAATGATATATACATATAATGATATATATATATATATAATGATATATATTTTTTCATGATATATATATAAGGATATATATATAATGATATATATATAATGATATATATATAATATATAATGATATATATATAAAGTTATATATATAATGAGATATATATAATGATATATATATATATTATGATATATATATAATGATATATATATATAATGATTTATATATATATATATATATTTGTTTATTGATGTTTATATATCTGTACATAACTATATATATATAACGATAAATATATATATATATTTAATGATACATATATATATAATGATACACACACACATATATATATATATATACGTATACCAGTAGTACCGCACAAGGCGGTGGCGGAAGTTTCAGAATAGGAAGCCTATATATAGGAGAGCTTGATTGTTGCGAATCACGGATGGCAGAGCGAATCCACTGATGGACTGAAAGGTGGTTGGAATTGTCTATTTTGGAGTGGTTACAATGGTAGTGTAGTGTAGTGTAACGTAGTGTGGTTGTAGTTGTAGTTGCATTTGTCTTTGTATTTGTCGCTGTAGTTGTAGTGTAGTGGAGTGTAGTGTAGTGGTTGTAGTTGAAACTGCTACGAAACCGCGACGTTGTGCTCACTTTCAGCAAGGTGCAGAATCCCTTGTGCCTACTACGCAAAACGACATCCGAAGGTCCAAAAGTGCTCCGAACCCCTCGTTTTTTTCACTTTTGACTTCGAAATGTGCTTCGCGCCACAACGGCGTGCACTTTTGCGACATCGCAACTTCTAAACGTGCTCCGAAGCTGAGGTGTTTTGTACATTTTGACTTGAGAATGTGCTTCACGCCACAACGGCGTGCACTTTTTCGACATCTCAACTTCCCAAATTGCCCCGAACCTGGTGTGTTTTGTACATTGTGACTTGGAAATGTGCTTCGCGCCACAACGGCGTGCTGGCCACATGGCTCCGCACCCGCCGCTTTAGCGAGCCTACCTTCGACCCTCCGGAGCCACAAATCATTGGAAAAACACAGTGTTTTGCAACTTTCCTACCTTTTCACGCATCTGCATCTTCTTTCTTCTGGCTCTTTCTTCTGGCTCTTTCTCTTCTCTGATCTTCTCTCTTCTCTGATTTTTTCTCTTTTTTTCTTCTCTTCTCTTCTCTTCTCTTCTCTGACTCTTCCCACCTCTGCTTTTCCATCTGTCCATATTGTCGGAAGTTTGACTTCTAAACTTCCTTCTTCCTTCGATAATGATGTATATAAAAATAATGATCACGATAATGATCTATAATGATATGTATATATATATACATTTAATTATTCATGTATTTAACTACAAATATAAGGGTATTTTTTGGTTTAATGATAATGATATGTATTTTTGGTTATATATATATAATGACTTATATGTAATGATATATATATATTTAATGATATATATATATATATATTTAATGATGTATATATATAATGATATATATATATGTATATATTTCTATACTGAAATATATTTTGTTATTTTTTAACGATATATATATATGTATATATTTCTATACTGAAATATATTTTGTTATTTTTAACGATATATATATATATGTATAAAATGATTTATAAATATTATTTATATATATATATATTTAATGATATTTAAATATAATGATTTTTATTTAATGGTGTATATATATATATTTATTTTATTTAAATATATTTATTTATTTATTTATTTATTTGATATTACGTATATAATGATTTATGTAATGACATACGTACACATATACTGATATGTGTTGTTATACATGTACCATATGATATTGTGTATTTGTATATTTAGATATTGTTACATATGATTGATTATACCATAATATGCACACACAGTGAGAATATGAGGTCATATAATGGGGATCAGTTGGATGTAAGCAAGAATATTAGATATGGATGTGTCTTAAATGGAGGATTCATAGATTGGGAAGGAGATTTTGACATGGATTGAGCTCGATTCGGGAGGATTGAACGGGGAATTTGGACGGGAAAGATCTTTGCCAAGTTCGAAAGCGTGAAACACGGGGGTCACCAGCAAGGGGCACCCCTGGCAGCAGTGCTTTGGAAGGCTGGCAGAAGAAAATGACACTGACTCAGATGGACCACTCTCTTTGTTGCTTGTCGTTGCAAGTGCAGGGCAGTTCAGGTTGGATGCGGATGCCACCCACAATTTCCTCAGAGCTGTTTCAATGGGATCTTGATCCAGTTGACCACAAAAAATACTTCCTATCCCATCTCAATGTACTAGTTGGTGGATAGGCCTCCCTACCATGGGTTATAATCGCCAAGAACCGCGGTAGTACAATTCCCAATGGTGCCAGGTTCGCGTACCCTGCAGAAGAGAACTTCGCGGGTCAGATCTTCCCCCTGAGATGGGCTCAAAAAGTGGCCAGTCGTCGAGGAAAACTGAAGCATTGGCGGGTCCTGATGGATGCAGCCAAGTTTACGGCCAGTCATCCTTTGAATCTCACTGAGGCTCAGCCAGACTTTGTGACGTTGTCTTTTTACAAACTCTTCGGATATCCCACAGGTGTGGGTGCCCTGGTTCTGCGATCCGAGACAGCAGCTGAGCTCAAGAAGCACTACTGGGGAGGAGGAACTGTTTCCATCGCAGGGGCCGGGCGCACTGCCAGCGATGATGTGAAAGTCTTCAAGGGCCGCATCGCAGAAAAGTTCGAGGTGCGCCTTCTGTTCGCTTCCTGTAACGGTTTGCTGAATCGCTTTGTAGGAGCTGAGTATCCATTCCATCAATGCCCAGCGAATGCATCACATCTATCAGATCGCTATGCCAGAACTTTTTTTTTAATTCTAAGCTGTCTGCAAGAGAAACTACCACTATATACGTTTTTTCTTCGTACCCGCAAAAAAACATACACCGTATATACCACATATACATATACATATATATATATATATAATATATATATGCATATATGTATATATGTATATTTAGATGTATATGTATATGTATAGGTATATGTCTATGTATTATATATGTATATGCATCTATCACACACACACACATATATATATACATACACATACATGGTATGGTATGTATGTAGCCACTCCCTCGTAGCCTTCCAGGACGGCACCGTGGCCTTCCTGGGCATCGCCTCTTTAAGGCACGGCTTCCGTGCCCTGGAGCTGGTGGGTGGCATGGCGGCCATCGAGCGCCACACCAGCGCCCTGGCCTCAGAGATGCACAGAGAGCTGCTAGACCTACGCCATTCCAATGGAAGCCCGGCCGGGGAAGCCCAGGTTGGGGGGTTGGGTCGAGGTTAGGGACTGGAAAACGTGGATTATTTTTGCTGGGATATAAGCCCTATGACTATAGCTTCAAGCGCTGTAAAAGTGTTGGCGCTGTAAAAGTGCCCATGACACTGTAAGAGTGTCAAGCGCTGTCAAAGTGCTTGCGCTGCAAAAGTTCCCGATGACGCTGTAAGAGTGTCAAGCGCTGTAAAAGTGTTGGCGCTGTAAAAGTGCCCATGACGCGTAAGAGTGTCAAGCGCTGTCAAAGTGCTTGCGCTGCAAAAGTGCCCATGACGCTGTAAGAGTGTCAAGCGCTGCAAAAGTGCTGGCGCTGTAAAAGTGCCCATGACGCTGTAAGAGTGTCAGGCGCTGTAAAAATGCTGGCGCTGTAAAAGCGCCCATGACGCTGTAAGAGTGTCAAGCGCTGTAAAAGCGCTGGCGCTCTAAAAGTACCCATGAAGCTGTAAGAGCGTCAAGCGCTGGAAAAGTGCTGGCGTTGTAAAAGCGCACATGACGCTGTAAAAGTGTCAAGCGCTGTAAAAGTGCTGGCGCTATAAAAGTGCCCATGGCGCTGTAAGAGTGTCAAGCGCTGCAAAAGTGCTGGCGCTGTAAAAGTGCCCATGACGCTGTCAGAGTGTCAAGCGCTGTAAAAGTGCTGGCGCTGTAAAAGCGCCCATGACGCTGTAAGAGTGTCAAGCGACGTGTAAAAGTGCTGGCGCTATAAAAGTGCCCATGGCGCTGTAAGAGTGTCAAGCGCTGTAAAAGTGCTGGCGCTGTAAAAGTGCCCATGACGCTGTAAGAGTGTCAAGCGCTGTAAAAGTGCTGGCGCTGTAAAAGTGCCCACTGCGCTGTAAGAGTGTCAAGCGCTGTAAAAGTGCTGGCGCTGTAAAAGTGCCCATGACGCTGTAAGAGTGTCAAGCGCTGTAAAAGTGCTGGCGCTGTAAAAGTGCCCATGACGCTGTAAGAGTGTCAAGTGCTGTAAAAGCGCTGGCGCTGTAAAAGTGCCCGTGACGCTGTAAGAGTGTCAAGCGCTGTAAAAGTGCCCGATGACGCTGTAGGAGTGTCAAGCGCTGCAAAAGTGCTGGCGCTGTAAAAGTGCCCATGACTCTGCAAGAGTGTCGAGTGCTGTAAAAGTGCTGGCGCTGTAAGAGTGTCAACCAGCGCTGTAAAAGTTCCCGATGACGCTGTTAAGAGTGTCAAGCGGTGTAAAAATGCTGGCGCTGTAAAAGTGCCCATGACGCTGTAAGAGTGTCAAGCGCTGTAAAAGTGCTGGCGCTGTAAAAGTTCCCATGACGCTGTACGAGTGCCAAGCGCTGTAAAAGTGTTGGCGCTGTAAAAGTGCCCATGACGCTGTAAGAGTGTCAAGCGCTTTAAGAATGCTGGCGCTGTAAAAATGCCCATGACGCTGTAAGAGTGTCAAGCGCTGTAAAAATGCCCATGACGCTGTAAGAGTGTCAAGCGACGTGTAAAAGTGCTGGCGCTATAAAAGTGCCCATGGCGCTGTAAGAGTGTCAAGCGCTGTAAAAGTGCTGGCGCTGTAAAAGTGCCCATGACGCTGTAAGAGTGTCAAGCGCTGTAAAAGTGCTGGCGCTGTCAAAGTGCCCACGGCGCTGTAAGAGTGTCAAGCGCTGTAAAAGTGCTGGCGCTGTAAAAGTGCCCATGAAGCTGTAAGAGTGTCAAGCGCTGTAAAAGTGCTGGCGCTGTAAAAGTGCCTATGATGCTGTAGGAGTGTCAAGCGCTGGAAAAAAGTGCCCATGATGTTGTAAAAGTGCTGGCGCTGTAAAAGTGCCCATGACGCTGTAAGAGTGTCAAGCGCTGTAGAAGTGCTGGCGCCCTAAAAGTGCCCATGACGCTGTAAGAGTGTCAAGCGCTGTAAAAGTGCCCATGACGCTGTAAGAGTGTCAAGGGCTGTAAAAGTGTTGGCGCTGTAAAAGTGCCCATGACTCTGTAAGAGTGTCAAGTGCTGTAAAAGTGCCGGCGCTGTAAAAGTGCCCATGACGCTGTAAGAGTGTCAGGCGCTGTAAAAGTGCCCATGACGCTGTAAAAGTGCCCATGACGCTGTAAGAGTGTCAAGCGCTGGAAGAGTGCTGGCGCTGTAAAAGTGCGCATGACGCTGCAAGAGTGTCAAGCGCTGCAAAAGTGCTGGCGCTGTAAAAGTGCCCATGACGCTGTAAGAGTGTCAAACGCTGTAAAAGTGCTGGGGCTGCAAAAGTGCCCATGACACTGTAAGAGTGCCAAGGGCTGCAAAAAGTGCTGGCGCTGTGAAAGCGCCCATCGCGCACTAAGATTGTCAAGCGCTGTAAAAATGCTGGCGGTGTAAAAGTGCCCATGATGCTGTAAGAGTGCCAAGCGCTGCAAAAAGTGCTGGCGCTGTGAAAGCGCCCATCACGCACTAAGATTGTCATGCGCTGTAAAAATGCTGGCGGTGTAAAAGTGCCCATGACGCTGTCAGAGTGTCAAGCGCTGTAAGAGTGCCCATGACGCTGAGAGTGTCAGCGCTGTAAAAGTGCTGGCGCTGTAAAAGTGCCCATGACGCTGTAAGAGTGCCAAACGCTGTAAAGTGCCCATGACGCTGTAGTCATTTTGTAGTCAAGAGGCCTTTCCCGGGCCTTGATTTAGTAGAGAGAGTTTCCAGGCACTCCATTTTGTAGACTCAGGTCCAGCACTTTGTAGAGAAGAACACCGGGTCCACTACTAAATGGCTGGCTCCAACCCCACCCCCCTAATTGGAAGGGGGATCTATAGATATATATATGTATACGTATAACTGCAACTGCACTTCCAAGAGGGGAGGGGATGAAGTCTGATTGAACTTCGGGAAATCTGAGGAAAATGCAATATGAATCATTGATGGTGAGATTGGAGATGGTTTACTATTTAGATTGATCATATTCTTGTTAATGAAGACCCTGAATGAAGTTGAAATCTAAATGGTGACTGGTTGCGAAAAATATCGTCAGTTAATGTTGATATATATATTTACATATATCGGCATATCTGAGTACACTGATGTTTTGCGCAACCCGTTTAGTTTTCAGACTTGGGTCGACACTGTGGAAAAACAATAATTAATGGACGCCCGCAAAACCTTCCACAGCTCTAATTCTGCCAAATCCAAAGGGAACACCCATCAACATCACCTTAAATCAGGGAACAAACCAGTCGCAACAGCCCCAGAAAGGAAGGATCTCAGCCTCCCCGGCCTTCCCCTTGCCCAGGTTATTGCCATGTACAGCCGAGACCGGGGAGTAGAAGATGGAAAGCTGGTGCAAGGTCCTGTGGTCACTTTCAACATCCTTTCAGCTGAAGGTCGGCCCACAAAAATTGATTTTTGGGACCTCTGAAGTTTCAAGAGCTGTTATTTTCCTGTCCTGCAGTTGTTTCAAACATTTTCAAGGCCTATTTCATGGATGAACTCCACTTGTCCTATTTTTTTTTGGGGAGGGTAGGTGGCTGAAACCTCACCAGCACGGATGCCATGCTGCACTGAGGCATCTTAATCAGCCACATTGATGTCATGGCAGATGCTGCCAAGGCCGGTTTTCGGCTCCGAAGATCCTGAGACAAAGGTCTTGAGAGGCCAATTCTCTTAGCGACAACTCCACCCATTCATCATCAATATTTGGAACCTCAGAGATGACAGAAATGAAGACACCCAGACTTGGATGTCAAGAATCTCTTGGTCCCAATTCATCATTCATCATCCAGAGGTTCTCAACTTCTTTTTTTTCCTTGGTCTGGACACCGATGAAGTTTTGCCATCCATCCCATCATCGAGGCTGGGATCCACCTGAGAGCTGGGATGCACTGCAACCCTGGAGCGGCCAGTAGCAAGTTGGGCTTACCGCCTGAAGCCATCGCCCAGTTGGCCCAGGAGTCTGAGCTGCGCTGAGCTGCTGAGCTATGTATACAACGTAGACATTTAAAAGAAGGGCTGGTGAATCAAGAGAAATGGGGGACATCTATCTATATTATATTAGATATCTATATCGATATCTAAGCTGATCTAATCTGATGGTTCCCTTCAGAACATCTAAGATCATCTCTGCTCATTCATGGTCATTCCTGTGGTTGGGATATTCCGGGGAGTATAGTGGTCAAAAATAGCAGAACATGTTTTGGCTGCAACAAACTTGGGTAGCTTTTCGCAATTGCAGAATGCCGCATTTTCTACTCCCTTGAAGACTCAATTGAGTATGCAATTTTCCTGGCCTGAATGCGGCCTGGAAGATAGACAATGGCAAAATATTGGATGCCATGGTCCATTCCAAAAAGTATTCGTCAGCTTTGTTGACCGAAGGTTTAGATTTTCAGTAGTACAAGCACCTCAATATTTGCTTACATGCACAACCATTGGTTATATTCACCAAATGTAGTCTTCTGTATACCAGTTCCAAAGGTTGGTGTCCCAAATCAAAGCCATTATCCGAAGTCATTGTTTCCGGTCAAGCCTGCAGTTGAAGCATTTTTTTTTGGATCCAAACCTAGGGAATCTGCCATTTTATTTCTCTGGAATCAATCCATGGATGACATGGATGTTTCCAGATTTTTGATGGTTTCAGTCCAGTCTATCTCGCATTTTCGACGGGAATCAAATCTTCACTGGTCCAGTCCCATGAGAGTTCCTAGATAGATGGTGAAGATTTGCCCTTTAATTAGTGATTCATTTACCCAGCAGGCATAAAACCACCATAAACCATCATAAACCCGAACATGATCCCCATGTTCCTAGTTGAATCCCCATGTTTTCAAATCGGAGGGTGAAGTCACCATTGGGCCGCTCGAGTCTGCCAGGACCCTTCCACGCAGGGCTGTGGCTTTGGACCTGCATTCGTGACACAGCTTGGGATGATGAGTGCGGCCTCACCATTCAACCGGATTTATGGTAAACGGATGGAAGATGAATGGTAAATAAAATTTGAATGAATGGTAAATGGATGGTAATTAAATGAATGGTTGATACATCAACCTAATACATGGTTGATAGTGGTTAACAATGGTTAAATTCATTTGGTTGCATTTACAATGACCTCACTGCGACGTCAATGGAATGATGGTATTGGAGTTCCAAAAACGCCAAACTTTTCAGGTCGGTGAACTTTAACCAGACACATATCAGACTACATATATTCTGCGCAGTTTATCTTTGCTTACTGAGGGTTTCCTATTTTAAAAAACCAGTGTTTGTTCAGAACATTTCAGAACATAATTCGGCACAGGGTCACAGGTTGATGTTCATCCCCTGGAGCGTTGATCGCATGTTTTCCATCGTTTTCCAATGTGCTGGAGGTGAGATTTTTCAGCAATCAGGTGAAGTGCTCTGCAAGTGCAGTACATCAAATCCTGGATGGCAGCTGCGGCCAACTCCATACAGGTGCGCAAATGCAGCATGCAAAAAGCCTGACATCCAATGACTCCATTGGTTTGGAAAAAGATGACAAGTTCGGGAGATTACCCTCCTTCAAACGAACATCGATGTGGACAACTCACCATGTGTAGATTATTTTCCAAGGCAGACCGTGGGTTGTCCACATTTTTTTGCATGTTTTCCCTGGGGTATATACTCTACACCCATTTTCACTCGAACTCACGTACCCGGGCCAAAAGTCTTATTTCCCAGATAGATTATCGGAATATACCCTGCCGTAGACATGGCTTGCTGGAAAATCTACCCTCTGGTTATTTAACATAGCTATTGAAAATGACGATTTATAGTGGATTTTCCCATTAAAAACAGTGATTTTCCATAGCTATGTTGATTTACCAGAGGGTATTGATGAATTCACGAATTGCGGCCCTCCAAGATCCCAAGCCCAAGCCGAGGCAAGTTACCAGAGACTCCGAGCTTTGGTGCTGAGCAGCTTTTGGACATGCCTTTGGGCAGTGTTCGAGTCAGCTTGGGGTCCCTTGTACCAATCCATTGTTCACCGGGTTTGTTTGAGAATGCGTTACCCCCCAAAATTGAATGTAAGTTGTTGTGTGACCTATCAAAATGGCCCATCTGCGCCAAATCCATCCGGGCTGAAATTCCGATTTTCGCTGGAGGGAAACACCTGACTTGCATGTCGCTGACTCCTAAGACTAGGTGCCAAAGAGTGTGGTATAGCCGTGGAAAGAATGTGGTGACCAAGACGGATATCAATGATGTGTCACAAGGGTTACAGCAGAATGAATGCATTGGATATTCAATTAGGGATTCGACACATCTTTCGAGTTCAGATCTCTGGTGCTACTGCCCCAAGGTACTTGAGCACCTATGAGGATGTAGAGCGCTTGGTGAATTTCATTGCTACCAAGTATCGTGAATAGATGTGCCATGATGTGCCTCCTTGTTGAAGCCCTTCCGGTGGTGCTTTCCGAAATGAAGGCCCACTGTTGGCACAACAATTTCCTAGCTACACCAGCTACCTGTGGATAGGCTGAAAGTTTGCCGCCGCAAGATGTAACACTTTGGGTTCCAAAAAATGATTCCGATTTTTTGAAAACCGTGTTTGTCTGAAAATGGGTGCCCCCAATTCCAATGGATTATCAATTACTGAGTTACTGTCTTCATTTTCGTTTTCAGACAAAGCCAACTTGTGCTGAGATAGACTTTTCAATAAGTCTTCAGCCAAACTTCAAGAGTCACAGGTTGTCTCTGCGCAAAGCAGGGACACGTAGCCTCCATGCAGCCACACCGGTTCTTGTACAGCACGCCGCTGGTGTAGGGAACCAGGAGTCGTTCCGCAGCGTCAGAAAATGCAGTTGGTTTGATGAGAGACCAACCGCTGTGAGGAAGCGGAGGTTCATCAGAAGAACACGAAAGAATTTGGCAACGGTTGCCCTAAATCTAGATTTGTGGCCCCCATCGATGCGGGGCAAAACAAACCCAACAAGCAAGGAATCCGCAGCAAAGATTCGGTTGAGAGGGGTAGAGTTGGGGGTATTAATGGGCATAGCTACGGTAATAGCCTCCATAAATTGGGATATAACCCTTGATTACATAACTATGGTTATGCAATCCATTTGTTGGGCCTAGAGACCGCATCACCGCGCATCACCATGGGACCCATGGGCCATGGCAGGTCACTTATTCGTCCGAAGGCTTCCTTGAAAAGAACGTAGACAAGCCACCAGATGAGGACGGGTGGTGGCCAAATCTGTTGGTACCATAGAACCAAATTTGCTGAGCAGGTACATGTCTACTCCAAAAGAACAGATACAGTAGGCCCCTGTTCAACAGGTCAATGCAACATCTCTATACTTGGCTTGTATTTTTGTAAAAGTGAATTCGCAGCAGAGGTGGGCTTCCAACTTGAAAGTCTGCCCGGACAGAAGTAGATAAACCCAACAGCTGCCGAACATCGGGACAAATCCGCTTGTAAATGGCGTAATGTCAACTCCGGATCAAATAAGCAATATGATGAATTTCAACTGTTTTGTATTTGCAATCTTTTTTTGATGATTGTAATGGTCGCCCCGGATGCTTGACATGTAAGATGGGTTGAAACTAACAACCAGATCAGGATTCTTGCACTTTTTTAAAACATTTTAAAACAGGATTCAACCACTCCCCGCAAAGGCAATCCCTACTAGTGGAGGTTATTGTTCTTGGTGGTTAAGCCCTACCCTCTGGTAATTTAACATAGCTATTGAAAATGACCATTAATAGTGAGTTTTCCCATTAAAAATGGTGATTTTCCATAGTTATGTTAGTTTACCAGAGGGTAAGCCCTATCCATAATTTCTGATGGCAACATGGGCGACATGCCACTGGTCACCTTTGGAATCCTCAGGCTGCGGACTTGCTGAAGGCATCGAGTCTGACGATCCTCCAACAGGCGCAAAAATTTTATCTTGGTGGCTCCAAAAAAGACTTGAAATGGTATGAAATGGTGCTGAAATACGGGAGGTAAACGAGGTAACCTTCTGAAAAGGTGATGTTCATTAGGGGAAATATACGGAACCTGTAACAAGATGGGATCAGTTGCGAAAATAAGAGATGTTGATGCTTTTGCGAGTAGCATACCCTTCAACCATTCTCATCTGTAGCAACAGACACCAGAAGTGCAACCGTAGATCTCTTGTCGGGACTGGGGGTCACGGGTGAAACGACATACCCCAAAATCACTCAACTCACCCTGCACCGACTGCACCGGCAGATTGGCACAACCATCGCGGAGGAACTGGCCGAAGCGACCGGTGGAGCTGGCAAAAAGAAGGTGCCAGTGGTTGGCCTAAAAGGGATGAACCCCTCTAAAATCAACATTTGTCTATAATGACATAGAGTGACTGAGCCCGTGGTCACATTGAAGCTGGTTTGATGGTCAGACTCAAATTGAGATGGCGCAACATTGGTCAAAAATCCTTGCCAAAATGCAGGCGAAGACCGTGAGTTCCGGCTTCCGGAGCTCTTTGGCTTCATTGGCCAGGGTCCTCAGGGGCATCTTCAATTCCAAGTTCTATGAAATAGTCAGACTTCGTTGTCTATTCAATTTCGAAGGATGTGTCAAAACCCTGTACCCCTTCTTTTCAGATCAAAGTCGATCGGATTTATGGATGTTCATCCCCCGCATATATATATATTTATACACCTAGAATCATCCAACCGAACAGACAGGTGCCCGAAGTAACTTCCACCCCTGGCCCTGGTCACTAGGTGCAGAAGCTCAACGAGGCAGATCCTCATTTTATCCGCTGTGTGAAGCCCAATCCAGAGAAGGCAGTGACGGTTGGGAAGGGGAACTCCCATGGCCAGTTGATGTTCAAAGAAAGCTTGGATCCAGAAAGAGTATAGAACCATCTAAATAGCATCATTGGACAACATTGCTTTCTTCTTTTGGTGGATGTTTGTTATCAATTAAGCCAGTTGCAGATAGTTTTCTGGATCATCTTCATTTTATGTTTGCAGTGGAAGCAGATGCTAGCCTTGGACATTTTGCCGTTCGGACCCCATTTTGGTGTCCGGCTATTCGTGCCAGGTGCCGGACAAGTTTGCAGCGACCCTGGTGATGGAACAACTCACCTGTAGTGGAGTCTTTGAGGCGAGAGCGATGGTGAAAGATTGAGATGATGATGGTGAATTTAAGGGGAACACATCTCCATTTTTGGGGATTCTTTCAGGTGCAGACAGATAACATCAAGCCCCCACTTTCAAACATGCTAGACATGGTTCTTGGTCTATGTGACTGCCTTCCACGTGGATTTGGATGCTCCAGGAAGTCAATATTTAAGGGTTTGCAACCCGATTCTAGCCTATTCTGACTTTATCAAGATTTTAAGCCTCAAATTCTTTGGGATTCATCCCATCCCCTAGATCTCGCCATCCATCTGTAGGCGGTGCGCATCCGTCAAAGCGGCTTCGCAGCGCGGATTCCGTTCGGAGACTTCCCGGGGCGCTACAAAATCGTGGTTCCCAAGGTGCCGAGTTGTCGAGTGGGAACCTTCGCCTGGAAGTTGAGGTGATGATTTATGATGATGATGGTTGGACAATTCTGGAAAATGATGAATCGGATGCCAAGATGAATCATGATCATGTTGGATTGGCGGGGTGCACAGTTTTGGAAGGCAAGGGCCAACTGTGGCTTTTCTTCACCTCACTTAACACCAGTTGGGCACATGTTCGTGGCAGCAACAGCTTTTAGCCTGGAAATGCCTGGAATAATTACATGTGACATCATGTGACCAGGTTTGAGGTAGTCACGTAGTCGAAGGTGGTACATACGATCGACTGCTGCAGTGCATTCTCATCTGGCGTATGAAGCGATCTTCCGGAATTGCCAATGGCTGGCTGGAATCTTCCCGATTTGTAGATACATTGCCTCTTTAACATTGAATCTTCATGACATTTCCAGCCATGAACAATTTCTGGAAGGTAGTGGGGGTGTAATCCCTTCTTAATGACGTCCGATTTGTTCAAAGATTTAATTCCCCAAAAACAAGTGGCAACATGTGGCTGTTTCCTGAAATGGGGTACCCCCTAATCATCAATTTTAATATTATATATATATATATAATGTGTATATATATATATTTAAATAGGATTTTCCAGTGTAGATTATACTATAAACCATCCATTTTGGGGTACCCCCATTTATGGAAACCCCTATGTGGTGTGGTTCATTCTTGGGGATTGCGACACTTTTTGTGCAGGCCAAGCATAAGGCCATCTTCGGCGCAAGCTCAGAGGTGGATCGAGCAAAAGCTTTTGCCGAGGCGGGCGGTCCTCTTGTAGCTCTGGTTACCTCGGAGAGCTTGGTCTGGACCACATTAGCCACCAATTGGTCTAGTGTTTGCATCAACATTTGGTGCCAAAGGCATCCAAATTTCTGATGGCTTCAAACGAGTTGTTGACTGATCCGTACCCTCCTCGCATGGTGTCCATTGTTAGGCACTTCCCGAAGCACTGCAGCCCTTGGGCGGTATCGCAACTGGCGATCTGGCGCGCTGCCGGGGGGATTTCTGGGAGCCACGCAGCAAAATTTCAGCCTGGTGACTACGGGGATGTACCATCAATAAATGGGGATATTTATTGGTGTATAATAATGTATACATAATAGGGATAGCGAACCTGAGATGTATTTCATCAACCGCCATTTGTTTAGATCATTTAGGTCCGTCCAATAATGGGGGATACACCAAAGTCAGCCAAAATCACCATTTAAATGGGAAAGATCATGACAAACCATGAGATTTTGCACCCAACTTGCAGACAAGTGATGGCAAATGATGGCAGGTGGTATACCAAACCGGCCCTGTAGTGTTCCCAAAAGAAGTCGCCAAGAAGTTGACCGCTTCCAACATGTTGGGCCTGACGACCTTGGTGACCCAAAGGTCATCCCAGGGCTCGGCTAGGTGCTTGGGAAGAGCAAGGTCTTCGCCAAGCAACCCGTGATGATCCGCTTGGACAAAGCTCGAGATATGGCTGTCTCGACGTGACCTGGAGCGATTTTTTGGGACTTCGGTGACTTCGGGTGGATTTTCCAGCACAGTTTCAGGTGAAGGCGGACAGATTTGGAATGTGAACATGAACAACATCTTGGGGTTTCAAGAGAAAGAATTATCCTGGTCTGATTGCAATTCTGGTAGATGGCGTTCTCTTTCTGGCTGTGGGACATCAATGTCATTTCGGGCACGTTGGTGAGTGACTCCTGCAATCTCAGCGCGGTCCCGCGATGTGGACTTTTCGGAAGGATGATCAAAACACATACAAACACCATCTGTGTAAACCAGTGTTTTCTAATGTTCTTTGCTCCACTGAACATTGATGAACATAAACACGTCCGCCGAGACAGTAAAACAATCGATGACTCGGATGACTGCAGCAGGTACGCCATCGATATCCAACGAGTCTGGCGCGGTGGCAGGCCTAAGCTTGGGGTGTCGAATCCAGCAATGGGCTCTCAGATGATTGGATCATCGTCTCCCGCGGGGTCTCCAAAAAGATAGAACCGTCAAAGAGTTCATCGATGATTATAACCTTCATTCCGCGTGTCCAAATTGTGTATTTATTTTGGGGTCACTGTACATTAATTATCATTTTAGAATTATATTGATATTGTCAACTGATGTCAGCTGTAGCTTCCCTTCTCTCATATCAAAACGAAAGTGACTGCTTCCAAGCATGACAAGCATATCGATTGGATGGGAACAGCGCATTCAAGAATATGTTCAAGATGTTCATGATGCGATTCATGAATTTCATATATTTTTCCATGAGAAACCAAGCCATGAGCCATGACCATGGGAAATTCATCAGAAGAACCTCCCATTTTTAGTTCCGCCAGGACGAGGAAAATGATGGCAACATGCAAAGTGGTCATGGCCTCAGGTTCGCATAGTGAGAGCCGCGAAAAAAGGCAGGTCATTTGTAGAAATTCTAATATTGTATGTACACGCACATACACATACACGATATCATACATACAGATATAATATAATTATGTAACCTGATAAATATCATATAATATACAATACATAGAGATAGAAATGTCAATCAGAATGTGTGCACGATGCATGCAGGTTTTCGACCAACTGAAATCGTGGTGCGCGGCCAATGACTTCTACAAAGCCCCTGGCAGGTGCCAACGGACCAACGGGGATACCATGGATTCATGGGATGTAACGGTGATATTTTCTGAGGATTATCATGAAATCATATATAATATATTATAATATTATAGAATCACATATATATATATATATATATGTATGTAAGTATATCCCATTTAGGCAATGTTGCCTGTTGGGAGGTATTCAAGATAGTGCCCCGAAATAGGGTATAATGTTGGGATTACCCGCATCACATGGGATTTGACTGTATATAGTTTTGCTCCCATCTCAATCTGGGCATGTCTACAGTTGAGGATTGAACATACGTTGCACTCATCACACGTTTTTGCCCATCTTGGATCTGATTAGATACCTTGTTTCAAGTATTTCTTAGCAAGATGACTTACTGTTCCTCTCCGTTTCTCAAGATTTGGGTGAAGTACCAATGGGGGTTTCCTGGGTGTACCCCAATAGCTGGTTGGTTTATATTGGAAAAGCCATCTATAAATGGATGATGACTAGGGATACCCCCTATGACTTAGGAAACCTCCAAATAAGCCCCACCCGGCTGATCAGTACCGCGGTGAAGAAGCTGAAGACTCCGGATGCCATCCTGTCCGAGGTGCCGTGGTGTGGTGAATAGCCATGGTGAATGGTCAGTCCCCTATGGGTTGTCCATGGTTATCCTGTTTACAAGTGGGTTATAACATGTTATAACAGTATAACCCCACTTGCTAACCACATCTAACCACTTACTGAGTGGGATGATCCTCAAAGCGCAGACCTCTTGATTTTTGCCGCATAGTCAGCATATTCAGCAGCCTCAGAGTCTGGGGACCATCATTTTGAGCTGCAGCCATGTTTTGTGGTTAGCTCAGGCTGCAAAAGTTGACGACATCTTCCGGAAGGCTGTGGGCAGTTGGTGACGTAAGGAGTGGATAGGCCGCTTTCATTGACTGGCACAGGGTTAGCAGCAAAAACTCACAAAAACACAGGCTGCTCAAGAGGAGAGTGAATTCCGAAGGATTCCAGACTTGGAGTGCCTTGAGGCCAGCCCTTTTTGAATTCATTATTGACCTGGCAAAATTGCAGACCACCATGTTTCACCCAAATTTTGTGGAGGTTTCTTAATTCAGCTATAGTGTCCATAGATGACGATTGTGTCCCACATAGTATTCACCCCCGACACAAGAAAGTAATCAACATGTTCACGTAGAAATAAAGATATACATATTTCATATTTAATTATATATATTTATAATTTATAATCTATTTATGTCTATCACAATACATTTCCAACATTTTCCCCATGTCTACTACCATTAAATTACCCTATGATCTCCACAAACTCCGGCCACGGCCACCCTGGCCTTTGCAAAGGCTGAAGGCCTGCCTCTGCCTGTGCCACGGCGCAAGGAAGTTGAGAAGGTTGGAGGAAAACCTGGTGACATCTGGTGACGCTTGAGTCTGAAAATGGATGACGCCCCCATCCATTGTTTTTTCGGGAAGATGATCATCAACCAATAGATCTTGGGGTACCATATTTTCGGACAACCCCGCTTCATTCTCCCATCTATGACTAACAGCATATACACACATATTATATATACATGCATGAATATATATATATATATGTCCCAGCCATCATTGTTTCGCGGTGGCATTGCTTTTTGCCACCCCTGGAGCCCGGAGGTGAAGGAAAGAATGCAGAAGGAAGCCAAAGAGATCAAGCATATCAAGGTGGAAGTGGCAAGTTTTCATTGGGTTTAAGGGAAAGTCGTATAACTGGAAACCACGGATTTTCCCATGAAATATATCGGGGGGGTTCCGGTTATTTTTTTCCCCTTAAACCAATCCATTGATAAAAAGGCTTTTGCATGGTTTCTGAAGGGGAGCAAAACAGATTGGTTTCTGGTTTTGTTGTAGCATTTTCGTGACAATCATGGGACAATGACGTCCACTTTCAGGGAAAGCCGTATATTATGATGGACACTTGATGCACATTTCAATGGAGATAGGTCATGCGTCGTGATGCTTCAAGCTGCTGTCGACATGTCCTTGAAAGCTCCGCTGCCAGGGTATCAGCAGCAGCATCAACCCTGTCGAGATCGAGGAGGCCGGATTCTACTGCGAAATCCTGCACCAGTTGATAGGGTTGATAGGTGGTGTACACATGTTTACAGCGTTATTTACAGGGTTTCAACATTTTTAAACATGTTTCAAACATCCAAGGTGGTGCAGGATTTCTTCCATCCACAGTAGGTAGCTATGGTATAGATGGCCCATAAGAATATATGATCAACGATGCTGATTTACCAAACTCAAACACGGTGATTTTTTTTCCAGTTCTCTACTTTGAACCACCAGATGGTAGAAACGGTTTCGCCTCCGATCCTGGCGGCAATTTTAGGATCCACAAGTCGCACACATCGTTTTGAAAAGGTGATTATTATATATTATGACAAAACTCGACCCTTTTTGGGGTACTTTTTGATACCATGTGATACCAATCCTACATGAATGTCCAACATAGTGGTAAATTTCCAAAGAATGGTAAATCGGTAGAATCTATATTTTGTTAACGAGGTTACTATGTGCAACTCGTGACTGGTGTCAGAAGGCAATCCATAAAGGGAAAAACTGCTTATATATATACAGTAGTTGTTTGCTTTATGGGATCCACAGTTGATGGTTTCATAGGGAATCCCTAGCAGTTGCCCTACTTTTTCCTCTTTCAGGAGATCGCATTTCACCCTATTCCTACGTCACAATGTCACAATCACCAGCCTACCGGCTGTCACCTCATGTGACTCATGTGGTTGCTGATTAGTTGCAGATGGAGGACAGTTGAACAGTGACAGTTGCATCGTTTTGAAGATAGTCTACAGTACAAAGAAAATGTTATGCCGTGTGACTTTTTGTTGGCAATCGTCATTTCTATAGATTGATATTGATAGAAAACGAGGCTGGAAGAAGCCAGTTGTGGCAGAACAAGGGGTCATCCACAGCCCGACTTTTACGTTGCCCCTCCCGCTGATCATCAGGCTTTTGCTCGCGCGAAAGACCTGGAAATTATGGACCTCCCGGAGGCGAAAATTCCCATGCTATCCGGTTGGTGGTTTGATTGGTGGAATCAGCAAGAAACAGATTTTTCACCTTGGGTTGGCTGTTTTTAACATATTTTTTTCGGCCATTTCTGAGTGTTTCGGTTTTGTTAAAAACGCTCAACTAGCCAAATATTCAGAGACACACCGGCCAACTTCTGGCAGATCCACCGTTTCTTTCTTGCAGCTGGTGGCTGATGTTCTCTCTCGCCAGCAAGATGTTAAAAGCAACCAACCCTCTCTCAAGCAACTTTCTCAGAGCTTGCTTGGCAACTTGATTAAATTCATTGGACAATGGAAGTTCCCATAGAATCCCATAGATGGGTAGTGAGCAATTAATGCACTGGTTCTCAATCTAGTTGGAACTGGGATAGCATGAGGCTTTACATACCCCACTAGTTTTAACTATCCTCCCAGAATTAGTTCAAAGGAATATCTCCTGGAAAACGTACCGGTGGATTTCCTGTAGATTTTCCCTCAAATCATTGATATTGATATCCCAACATAACCAAAGTGGCTAGCCGCTCAGGTGACTGGCCTGCAGTCTCGCCTCAAGAAATTGGCCAAGCAGGTTCCATTGGTTAAGGTGCGGGGCCCTGATGTCCCTGCCTTGGATCATCTTGGATTTGTTGGGCAATCCTTGGAGTCTCTGATCTCTAGAGTCTCGGGACAATCACCATGAATCATTTGAAATCCATGAATCTTTCCATGTGTTTCCATGGTTTTTCCTGTGAAAGATGGGCATTTTCCATGGATTTTCCAGGTGGTACCATACGAATCCGGTCTCGGATGTCTTGGGGATCCCATCGACCGGAGGTCTGGTTCTTTGAAACTGCCATAGCTACTGGAGACATCTGGAAACTAAAAAAGAGGGTAGCCATACTTCATGGTATAATAGATAATAGCAAGTAATAGCAAAATATTACCTGGTAATTTTTTCGCAACCATGATTTGGATTTAGGGATTCCTCACCAATTGGGACTGTCACTTCAGACGTGACGTAACCTGCGTTAGGCCATTCAGACGGCGCTCGAAGAGGAGGACAAGTGTTGTGGGGTTTTGGGGGTTTGGATTTCGTCGAGCGACTGGATGGATAGTTTATATATATAATACGTTATAATACTAAGTAATCCGTTAATATATATATATATATATATATTGTATTATGATATGTATATATTATATAGGCTATAGGTATGATGGGTATACAGATATCATATCTATATACATCGGCTAAGAGCTGGATGCATCGGCTATACAGCCTTCGAGGCCATGATTTTGGATCAGGACTTGGAGAAGCTCCAAGAAGTCATGGATGCGGTACCGGATGCCAAGCTGCGGCTATGAAGATTTCACGCTTATTTGGTGCCACACTTCAACAGCATTCCTGAAATTTAATGTATAATATGTATATATATATAATTATATATATACACATACATTGTATGTTTAATATATATATATACATACATGTAAGATTATATGTATATGTTATCTAGATGAGATAGGTAACCCATTTGCAAAGTATCCAAACTTCAATTGACATGTCAAAATTGCATTCCGGATTCTGGTGCCTAGCTACTCGGAGATAGGATGAGATGTTTGTTGGAATGGCGGCTGAACATATCTTCAACTCCAGCTATACTTTGGCGTGAAAAAACACGAAAAACTGACAACCGGGTTTTATGGTCGATAGCCAGATAGCTTCAAGGGCTAGTTGGGTTGTATAACCATTGAATAACCCATATATGCCGTATAAATTCTATAGCCAGATAGCTTCATGCCGCCGGCATTTTGCTTCAAGGATTAGTTGTAGTCCATGAGTCGTGCAAAGCTTTCGCCACACCCGCGAAGCTTGCCACGACTGCGCCGCCCTGAGTTGATGGCATTTTCCCAACTTCCTATGTCGAAATGATGCGTCGAAATTGGGTACCCCAGTATTAATACTAAGATCATCCAATTACTGTATTAATACTAAAGATAATTTATGATTAATTTAATACTGAAGATAGACATTCCAAATATTCCAATCTGTGATTTTTTCAGGTCTTTAAATTTTGATCCATAGCCAATAAACCATGGATGGAAAACCAGTAATCCCATGTTGTTGACTAAAACCAGTGCCACAGGCCTGAAAGATGACCCAGAGGACAGGGGGCCATGGGGCATGGGGTGACATATGGGGGTTTCCTAAGTCATGGGGATCCCCAATACCTGGATGGTTTAGAATAGAAAATTTGAAAATAAGATGAATGATTTGGGGGCGCCACCACGAAGTGGAAACCTCCATACGTGATACACCAATACATCAATATCTCGGACAGCTTCTGAGTGGTGCGCTCACAGCGTGAGCAGTGCGGCGCAGCACAGGTTCGGGTCCAACCAACTGCTTTGTACAGACTCAAAGAGCGGGCGCATGAGTTTGCACGCGCCCGCCTTCCACAGTAGTCCACAGGCTTGAACCCGGCATCGCCAGGCACAGCTTGTGTCAGACAAGTCTACCAACACATTTACCTACCAGCAGGTACCACTACACTTATCCAGCAGGCCACCTGCGGCTCATGCAAACAAAAATTATTGGATTCGGTTGTAAGAATTAACAAAAGGAGAAAGTTGATGCTGTACAAAAATTTCTCTCAAGTGGGACAAAAAAAACGAGTGTGCGACCCATGCGGTCAAAACACGGTTGTGCAGTTATGTGGGGCCACGGTGTGAGCCACCGGGCCTCGTTGTTGGGCGCCCCAATGACACTGCCCGTGTGTTCGTTCCATGCCAGACTCATGCCACCATGTATGTGGGACCAAATGCTGCCCCAAGCATATCACAAGATAATCTGCTTCTCACCCATGAGGGCCACAACATATGAGGAGCCTATGCCGGTTCCCTCTGTTTGAGCATGACAGGTTGCAAACGTATCACAGCCAAGCAATCGCCGCATCCGCTGACAAACACGGGAATCACCATTTCGGCCCAGAGTAGAAGTAGAGACGGCAAGCATCTCCAACTCACAAACCGGTGAATTACCATCTTTGTGCGGTGTGAATGATGTGTGCGCAAGCACCGCCAGCTCAAACATGTGACTCGCAACCTCTGCGCAGTGATGAAGTAAGAAGCCCCAGCACGGTGTGCTCCACAATGTCTTGAACTTCAAAGTGTTGGAAACGCAAGGCGGCTTTCCAAAATGACCGAGCTCCATGGCACAACTAACTAGTGGTAACAACCCCCAGGGATCAGCCGTCTCAGCCACACTGCTGGAAAGACCTGGGCCCGTGGCTACACCAATACATCAATGATACAAACTGGGTGGTTTGCAGAGGTTGATAGGGAAAGTGACGAGTCTAGCCAGTTCTCATATATGTTCACTAAATCAGATGGCAGGAGCGCATTTCAGGCATGGGTACTGGACACTTTACGGGTTCAGTCCGTAGCCAGTCACAGTTCCGGTTTTTTGCTGCCAAGAATGAGGCACGGGTACCATCCCAAAATCACCAGGAACCAGCAACCAGGAACAAAAATAGTAGATGAGTTGTTGAAATTGATCATGGAGTCGTTGACAGATATTATATAGTCCTGGCCTGGCAGAATCTTCGAGATCATTCTACTCACTGATGTAGACCTTGGCCAAATGATATGGAACTAATTTGTATTGATGATTGGATCATGGTTTTCATCCTTATGGCAGGCATTGAAAAAAAACCAAGAGGATCACCCTTCACTTTGCGTGTTTTGCAGGCCCCTCCTTGGCCTGAGCCAGTAGCAGAACAGGTTCTTCAAGTCTCTTCACAAGCTTCAAAGCTGATGTTTGGAAACAGCGGCTTATGTTTGGGGCACGAGAATTTCACGGAAGGTTTCTGGCATTGAAATGACTCACTAAGACATTCTGGTGAGGATCTGCCCCCCTGTGCCCGTTTGTGCACCGGGAACATCAGCCTTGAAGAGCCACGAATCTCGAGATTTTTGTGACCAAATCATTTGGAACTCAATTTCTGGTGTTTTTGCTGGATATTGGCGAGGTATCCCATCCTTAAAGCGTCACAGACAAGCCATCCATTCTGCCTCCTGACGCCATGAGCGGCTGCCATGTGGAAAGTGTGGCTTCTCTTTGGGGTAGTACCTCGGACTTGAACATCTCGACCCAGACCCAATGGCTCTGAAAATGGCCATGTTTCAAGAATAATGGTTTTTTTGGGATATAATACCAATAATTTGATATTTGGTTCTGTCTGAAAATGAGAGAGTGGCCTCCAAAAGGTCATCGTGCGAGAGGGAACATGATGATTAAGCATTGGATGGAATGGGGTAATCTATGTCACCAATCGCTACCCATTGATTTTCTTGTTGGAGCGAAGAATGTTTTTTCTTGACTGGGACCGAATGTTCTGATACCATCTTTTGACACCGGAATATCAAGTCTAACACAGCTATGGCAAACCACAATGTTTAAATATATTTATCAATATTTATCATATTTTGATTTTTTGATAGGTCAATCATCGAACTAAGTGGGCCATGGCTTCCAGAGGGGAAAAGTGTTGGCTTCCTGAAGAAAAAAACCAAGGCTTTCATCTTGGCAGCCTTTCTCTTCCTCACAAATGCATCAGGTGGTGCGTTGCGTTTGGGTGTTTTCAAGTGGGACACTATGGAATCAGCCCAAAAGCGATTGGTTTCTGTAGATCGGCAAGATTATGAGGAAAGTTGTACTCGTAGATGGATATGATTTTTCCGCAGTTTGCAGATGCTGCCACTTTCTGGATGGTTTCCGCAGGGTCTCCTGTGATCACAGGTAGCAGTGAGCAAGTTGCACCGGCAGTTCCTGCGCTTGTTGCGCCAGACACAAGCATCGCAGGCGCGATAGTTGTGTTTCTTGATCCAACGGGGCTTCTCAGGTGGTCCCGTGGGCGAAACAGCACTGAGGCTGAAGAAATCATTCAGAGATTTCCATTTTTTGCCATTTTACATCAAAGCACGTGCCTGTTCATCCTTTTCACATGGAACTTTTGTTCTCTTTCTTTTTGGTTTATCCACAATTCATGACCGTCCGAAGCCTCCTGGGCTCGGTGATCGAAGAATGGCCACCCAGAGCTTTCAGGACCCAAATGGGTGCCAGACCCGCCATGACCCACCACTTTCGCACAGGGTCCTTTAGCATATTAATATCCATTAATTGAAAAACCTGCACTATAAGTTAATGGATATTAATATTAATTACATAGCATATAATATCCATTGTACTATTGTTAGTTAATATCCATATTAATATGTTTTACAATAAGTTACTTATACCTATCTTTAACTCGTCCCCGAGGTGAGATCGATGGAAGGTCTTCTTGGGAAGACTTGTTTGCCTGGCATGCTTCCATTGTGGGACGGTGGAAAATTGCCATGCAAAGCTGGCGGACATTCCCCAGGTTTGGTGGGTAAACTGGGTAAATGGATAGATAGATAGACAAGATAGATAGATACGTATATAATTATATATATATATATTACCATCGCCTACATGTTTTTATCATTTGTTTCCATGTTTGTTCCATTTTTCGCCAGGTGAGGCCAGGCCAGATCTTCAATCCATTGCCAGGTGTGTGGCGAGTACTTTTCCAAGGCCTGAGCCAATCGTGAGGCGCAGGGGGAAGGCCATGGTAAAGGGTAGCCGAAATTTCGGACAAAACTCATTTGGAGATGATGAATGATGATAATTTGCCGTTTTTCTGGATTTGATGTGTGTGATGTGCATGATTCAGATGTCAAAATGGGATTTAACCGGCCAAGATGGGGATTTAACCATCGGGACTCAACCTAGCCAAACCAGGGGCAGGGACCATCCAGTCCGGGCAGTCCAGTCCGACTGTGAATTGATCGAGGATTTTCCCATCTTTTCCCATTCAAAACCTCCATCGCCATGGGGAATTCTGAGCCAGGAGCAGTAGCAGCCTGAAACAGTTGGAGGCCAGGAAAACCGCAGCAACTTTGCTTCTATCGTCAACAAGTAGGCGTATATATATATATTAATATATAATATATATATATATTATATATATATTATATATATTATATATATATTATATATATATTATATATATATATATTATATATATATACGCGCAACGCCTGGGCTTTGCCCCAGCGTTGCAGCGTCGAGGGTTCCCATTCCCAATCAAATGTTGTTGCAACTTTACATTCAAGTGGGAAGATCAACAAAGGTATTAGGGAATTTGAACATCCCAAACTCGTTAAACTTTACATTTAATTGGGAAAATCAACAAAGGTATTAGAGAATAGTACGATCCCACCCCCCTCAAACTCTACATCCAATTGGGAAG